CTTACTGTATACATAGTGTGTGAAAGTGTACATATAGTAATTTTAGGGCATTTTGAACAAGTAATATTGTGGCAATAAACATTTACTGTGGACACATTACTGACACATATCACAGTTCCATGGAAAATTATGAACATTCTACTACTGAATACATATTGTAAAAGACACAAATATGTGTCATATATGATAAAAAAAAAAATAAAACTGCATTGAAAATACATAGAACAAATAATTGAAAATATATTTGTGGCAACTCGCGGTGCTTGAATGGCCCACGCGACCGCCTCTAGGAGCTTCATGCACAGGCGAGCAGCCCACGATGACATCACACACCCCCTTCTCCACATCCCTACAGCCAAAGTAAGTAGAATGTTTTAGTTTTTTTACAATTACATGTTCAGGGAAGGGAATTTATCATTTTACAAAGATAAAAAAAAATTGCGAACACTTGATTTTATGCGCACAGGAGAAATGTCACAATAAACTTAACGCATCACAGAGGTTAAACATCATGTTATTTTCTGAAGCCCATTCAAAGATGTAACATACGATTGGAGGTTTGCTGTGTCCTCTATATTTTCTACTCTCTCACGAAGATTCTTGTATCATCTGCAAACGATGCTAGATTTTGTATCTTTGTCTGTGTCTAAAGTACTAGAGCAAGCACAGTACACTGAGAAACTGAGCTTTTCATGGCAGATGATCCAGATTTTACTTTGTTGGCTACTGCATTACTTATGGGTTCTGTTCATTAGAAAATTAAAGATCATCTTCATACTTTGCTAGTAATTCCTTTTGTGCACATTTTGTGTACAATAACACCACAGTCACACCTGTTGAACACAAAACACGTTCATCATAACATGGCTCCCCCCAACAACTCGGGGTCCCTGATGGTTGCTCCAGTCTGTTCACAGGTATCTGATCCCCTAAGCTCCCTTTACTTTGTAGATGGAGGAGTTTAGCTGTCTGTCTGTCAGTAGACCAGTGTGGGTCTTAGAGAACTGGTGATATTCTTAAGGATTGATTACACCAGTGTATAAGCTACAGGAAGCTTCAACTTGTGAGGTGGACCATTTAACCCCCTTAACTGCGTTGCCTCCAAATATGACACCCCCGCAGTGCGCAGGAAATAAATTCTCTGGAAAAAAAATTTTTTTCTTTTTAAAGTGTCAGAAACCCTTCCCTCAGTATGGGTATGTAGAAAAAAAATCGAAATTGTACTTACTTTGGCTGCTATGGGGTCCGTAAGTTGGGGCGTGACGTCATCATTCCCTGTTCGCCCGTGACGTACGCTCCCGGGGCCAGTAGGGCGCTCGGGGCGGGGCGCGCGAGTTGCCGCGAATATATTTTTGTTCATTTTTTTCGCACAGTTCCAAATACATTTTATTTGTTTTTACGTGCTAATCCTTTGTATAGTGAACACATACACTTTATTATGGCAGTAAAACATCCGTACTGTCCGAAGACACTGTGTTACGTGCATGACACTTGTGTACACATATGTTGCACATATTTACTATGTATCATGCTAATTTATGTATATATACAATCTATTTACACACTATACACTGTCACACACTATATACATTCACCATCAACACACTCAGAACACCTCGAGTGAGAGCAGCCACACCCAGCCAGTCTCCCTCACTACAACATCTTACTCGCCAACATTGCTCCTCCCACAATACTGTTATAGTTCTTATTACACATGTTCTATATATCTATCTACATGTTTTATTTACCAGAACTATGCAAGTAAGCCGGTATTGTGTCCAAACAGTACAGTGGCCACCATACACTGCATGACAAATCACACAGCCGACAGCAGACGACGCTACGATTACGTCACCTCCCTCACCAAAATAGCTCCTCTCAACATTCTTCTGTTGCTGTTCTTACACTATATATACACACTATATATACCCATGTACGTATGTGTTGCCCATAGCGAACCACTAAGCTAGTATGGTGAGCAAAACAAGAGTGCCTGCCACACACACACGATGAGGCTACCTCAATTCTCGCCCTCCCTCCCTTACCAAAATTCCTCCTTCCACAATACTACGCACAACGCTAATTATATCCACAATCCTGCTATTATCACAATCCTGGTCAATAATTCCTGAAAATGAATAATTGACCACACGTTTATTTTGAAAAGGAACCTAAGAAATCATTTGAAGATTCCTAGATGGACGAAATAATGCTGCGGTGCTGTGGCTAGCGCTGTGAACATCATGAACAGCATTGAATCACTGATATTTGAACATTGTACCCAGTCATTATCACACTCAGGCTCTTCTATAACACTATCATGGCTAATACAAGTTATATATATATTTTGACATTATTAGGCGATGCTGTGGTCACACGCTGAACAGCAGTGCTGTGTGCTCATGCTGTGAGCGCCAGCCTTGGTTGCTCACACACTACTGAGGCTCCCACACCCGGGAATGTGGACCACGATTTTTTTTAAAGACGGCGCCTGTTTACAAGAGCCCTGAGGAAGCTGATGTGAACCCCATGTAGCCGCGGGAGTTTTGAATGGAACGTGAAAAATACAAATACCCGGAGGCGCGTTGCGCAAACCAGACGTGAGCCTGCAGGTGCGTTGCGCAGTTTAAGGGTTAATGTGTCTACATCATATAATGAAGCAAAAATTTTGTTCACAGAAACTTTAAGAGTCAATGATGTAGCATTAGCTGAATGTGAGCACAGGGTTTTGGATAATGCATATTGCATCTTCATACTAAGTAATCCAAATCGCAGAGTCCCTGCATGGAAAACCCTGATTACAGCTTTAGAGACAGACATAAATTATAAAATATTTGAATTTGGGATCCCCAAAAGTCAATTTGTGTTATGCTCCCAATAAATCCCATTTCTGAATTATATAATGAGTTACAGAACACTTTAGAGATGCCACAATACAATAATGTGCAGTAATCCAAAAGAAGTGTACAGCACAAGGTAATTGCATGTGATCACCATATATTTAACACATCGTGGACTCAGCATTAGCCAAATAGATGACAGAGCTCAGATTATTTGTATCTTTCCTTTCTTCTCCCATCAGAAGGAAAACAGTTTATGTAAGTGATAGAAATGGTAAAATATTACAAACACAAGTGAACCGAGAAAATGGAAGCTCCACAGAATTTGCTGCATACCAACTCAGTGACCTCACAAAGGTATGGTAACCTTGATACATTAACCCTTAAACTGCTAAGGGGTCCTGAGGAGATTTACACCCCTGTGCACAAGAAAAAAAATCTAAAAAATTATTTCGTCTTCTAAAAATGTTAATTTGTGTTCCCTGAGCACGGGAAAAATAAAAAAATATCGTAGGTAACACATTTTGGCCGCAATAGGATGAGGAATTCTGCCAAAATGTGGGCGTTGACAGAGCAGTCGTCAGGGAGGTCAGCGTCACCCGCGCTGACAGGTGGGAGTTGCCACAAAGATATTATTACCTAATTATTTCAATGTCTCTGATTGATTTTTTCTTATTTTTTTTTTTTTGCAGTAATATTATTCAATAGTATGTATTGTGATATATTTATATAATAAAAGGGATGAATCATTGCTATACTCAAAAGTATGGTGTGCGTATTAGTGATTCAATTATTATGTTCATAAAACAATAAACAAAGAGTTTTGCTGTTATTACACTCTATACACAGGTTATATATAAGTATCTGCATGTTTTGTTCACCATAACAAACCACTAAGTTGGTATTATGAGTCGAGAAGCAACGAGGAGTGACCGCCACACACCAGCCAACCACTCGTTGCCACTTCCTCAACAGCGTCTCACTCGCCCACTTTCTCCTCCCACCATCCTGTTTTTTATTTTATTCACTATATACAGACATTATATATAAGTATCTACAGGTTTTGTTTAACACAACTGTACAACTAAGCTGATATAGTTAGTTCAGGCACTAAGAGACGTTGCTACACAAAGTCAGCTGGGGGCTGTCTCCCTCACTCATTCAAGGTCAGACACACTAAAATTTCTCCCCCAACAATACTGCTTACAGTGTTATTACACTATATACACACATTATATATAAGTATCTACATGTTGTATGCACCGTAACTGTACACATAAGCTTGTAGGGTGCCCAAAGAACATAGTGGCCACCCTCCACAGAGCGAGACGAGTCATGCAGACAACGTCACCTCCGTCACCCAAATGGCTCCTCCCAACATAATTCTTTTGCTGTTATTACACAAATACTCACATTATATATAAGTATCTACATTTGTGTTCACCATAGAGAACCAATGAACTGGTATGGTGAATGCAGACAATAACAGGTGGCCACACAATCAGTAAACGATGCTATCCCTCCGTCCCTCAGCATTACTCCTCCCACAGCGCTAAATTATCACAACAATCCTGCTATTATCACAATCCTGGTCATTTTTATCACAGTCAGGGTCATCTGTAATGTTGTCATCGCTAAATAATAGCAGTTACATATTTATTTTGACATTTTTAGGCAATGCTGTGGTCACAAGCTGAACAGCAATGCTGTTAGCTCATGTTTCGTGCATGAGCTAACAGGATTGCCTCCCAAGGCTAACGGGAGCCTTGGTTGCTCCCACAGTACTGTGGCTCTCACACCGGAGAATATTGTCTCTGATTTTTTTTAAACATGGCGTCTATTTACAAGAGCCCCGAAGAAGCTAATGTGAACCCCATGTAGCCACGGACCATTTGTATTGTGCCTAGCTCCCTATGGCGTATATATATGCTATGCGCACTGTGGGACATGTTACTCATGGCGTATATATACGCCATGCACAGTTTATGGGTTAACTATTATTATTCTGAAGTGAACACAGTAGCTAACCCAACTCCAAGGAGGAATATGCAGTTAAAGATTAAAGATCAGGATATTTGATAAGAAATTTGGCTACATCCTAATACAGTATATTAAAAGGCACAAAAATAATACAATATAACCAAAACAATGTTAACTGACCATTCTGTGTAATGTTATCACACCAAGAAACGTTGATCCACTCCAGGTGCGGACAACCATCACTAAGTGCTTTGAGGGAGACGTCACCAATCTGAGCACACGAGTCTAAGTTTAGCCGTACTAACCGTGGACAGTGTCTGCTGAGTGCCGTACACGTTCTGCAACATAACCACATAACATGTAACACATCTACCTACGTTTTGGGTAAATACATAGATTAGACTACATCCTGCAACATAACCACTAAATGTGTTACACATCTGAATATGTTTTGAATAAACACACAGATTAGACTACTTTTAGCAACATAACCACAAAAGATATAACACATCTGACTACCTTTTGGCTAAATACACAAATTAGACTACGTCCTGCATCATAACTACATAAGATGTAACACATCTACCTACATTTTGTATAAAAATACACAAATAGTAGCAATAGTTATATCCATGAGAAGTATTGAATGGTGAAATTTGTTTGCTGTGTACATACAGAATTACACCACTGCCATACTTTCCAATATATAAGACACACTTGTTATAAAATGATATTTTGTTCTGAATTTTTGTTTAATATGCTTCATAAAATACATTAAAAGTGATGCTCTGGTGTTTTTATGTTACATGCTCTTTTCTGGCGAAGAATGAGGCTGCTGCTTTTCGAAGGGGTCCATGGGTTGTTGATGCTTGGCTGGTTGGGCCGAGGGTGCATCATGTTGTGTCCGGTGGCGGCTCTTCGTCATTATTGTGTACCACGGCTTTTGTGTCCGGGGACGCGCTTTGGGTTGATCCAGTTTCTCTTCTTCCCTGTTCGAGGGTGCGGGTCTCCCAGGTCGTCCGCAGAGTTCTTCAGGCTAACCAGCCTGTGGTCTATTCCCGTGCCTTTGACATTCGTACATTCGCTGCTCTTGCTGCCGTCTTTGGCACCATGTTCTGGGCTTTTGGTGGTGGAACAGGGTCCTGGCTGTTCGTTACCTCATGCATGTCCCTGGGTTTTGTTGGGCCTGTGTTATTTTGGGTCGGCAGTTGCAGCCAGTTGTCTCGCCTTCGAGTTGTGGAGTGAGCAATGTTCGCCTCCCGGGTAAGTCTCTAAGTTTTCCTCTGTGGGTAGTTAGCTCTAGGGAGCCGACGGAGCTCCCCCCAGAAAACCAGCGTTGAATGTAATGAAACGCCATTTTCTGGGTGAGACCCAAAGGCTCCCCGATATCCCTCCCTCCCCCCAGTCGGCGTTTTTTGTGTGTTTTGACATACAGCCTCAGAACTGATGGGTGAATAGCCAGCGTGAGGGGTCTAGGGCTCTCCCTCCCCCCTGCTGCGCAGATAGCGACGTGTGATGTCATGATTGTTTGCTCGTTTCTCTTCGGGGAGTTCTATCCACTTATTCGGCTTTTGGTAGCAATAATTTCACCAGAATAGGGGTTTGTTTTGGGATGCTTACCTTTCTGGGTGCCTGACCCGGTCAATGGCAGACATGGAATGCTTCCAACCACACGGGGGTTTCTATAGGCCATTGCTCCCCTTGCCTCTCTGAGGGGGGCCAGGTTCTGGCTCGTGGTCCCCGGTAGGCCCATAGAACTCCATACACATGACTGATGCCAAAGTCTGACATTAGCATATCAGCCTAGTAAGCTCCGGGAAGTCTCCGGGTCTCACCCAGAAAATGGCATTTCATTATATTCAACGCTGGTTTTTTGCCTTTGGTAGGAAAATGGGTTACTTAAACCTTATCTTCTTATAACATAGATGATGTTAAATTTATTGCATCATATAGTTGCCACATTCCTATTCCTGTAGTTACTAAGATATATTGTAATTATGTATTACTGCTCATAATATGTCTTGTTTTTTTTATTAATTACGTTTATCATGTGAAGTTCCCACTTTGAATTGTATCACAAATTATTTTGTATTAACCATATTTTCTGGCAGACAGGATGCACCTTATTGGACTTCCACCAATCAAGTATATATTGTATTTAGATGTACAAAATCATTTGTTATTTTATATATATATATTGTCGGAAAATCCGACACCATTTTATTTCATACAGACAGATAAGAGCTGTGTTGTATAAACAAGTTACCCATAGAAAACGTAACTTGTAGTGGAATTACCGTCTAAAGAAAACGGGATATCATCACCACATACTATTATAATTCACCACCTATTATGGTGGGAATTATTCTTAAATACATTAGTCTTTGGACTTTACCATCATAAAAACATCTTATATAAATTAACTTAATTATCAATATTAAAGTAGAGTAAATGTGACCCTTCTATCACTTTCTGACATTTGGACAATGTAGGCCAGGCGTCAGTGGGGAAGGAGGGCAGCCATTGTTTATACGAGACCAGAGGCTCACACGGGAGCAAATTCGGCTCCTGTTAATTTTACTTGGACGTAGTGTTATGGAAACCAAAGGTGTACCATTTTCACACGCTGTCAACAAATTCAAGTTAAGTGTTCTTTCCGAAACCCATGTATCTTCATTTATGGCCATTAATGTCATTATATAGGGTGACCCGGTTAGAGCACGTGGAAGCCTCAAACTAAAGGTAATTAAGCCAGGTCTTCAATGTTCCATGTATAGTGTTTTCTCTGACATAGCTTGTCATATATAGGATTCTGGCTTCACAGCTAGCGCACTTTTGACAGGTCAAGACGAGGAAGGAAGACTTTGTGCACCAGTTACTGGGTGATGGAAGCTACCTCAAAGAGGATAATTTGGTGTCTACACCCTAGTTATACCTGGTGGACTAACCTGCTGTACTATAAGATAAGGAACCTTTTCAATGTATGTAGTCTAATTCTGTAGTTTGATTGGCTGCATATATATAAACTAATAAACCCCCCCTAATGTGTAGAGGATCGATTTGTGAGATTAAGAGATTATTGCAGAAATACAGTCCACTTATCATTATACAAATTGCTATCGAAGTATATAAATTAACGTAAATATAAATTCATATAAATTAAATAAATATAAATCTCACAGGTCGGTTCCCACATATATATATATATATATATATATATATCGTACCAAGTAGCCAGAATGCACTTCTCAGCCTACTATGCAAGGCCCAATTTGCCTAATAAGCCAAGTTTTCATGAATTATTTGTTTTTCGACTACCTAACCTACCTAACCTAACCTAACTTTTTTTGGCTACCTAACCTAACCTAACCTATAAAGATAGGTTAGGTTAGGTAGGGTTGGTTAGGTTCGGTCATATATCTACGTTAATTTTAACTCCAATTAAAAAAAATGACCTCATACATAATGAAATGGGTAGCTTTATCATTTCATAGGAAAAAAAATTAGAGAAAATATATTAATTCAGGAAAACTTGGCTTATTAGGCAAATTGGGCCCTGCATAACAGGCCGAGTACGACGTTCTGGCTACTAGGTACGACAAATATATATATATATATATATATATATATATATATATATATATATATATATATATATATATATATATATATTAATATGACCGAAAAAGTAAGATTAATAATTCTAACACGAATTTTCTCAATCTTTCGTACATTACGCTTCACTGTTGGAGGTAAATCAAAAATCAATTCTCCAAAATTCATTTTTATTTCTAGTCTGACGCAACACGGGCGCGTTTCGTAAAACTTATTACATTTTCAAAGACTTTAGTTCACAAATACACAACTGAATAGAACTTACGTATCTCCGATTTTATATCTACATTTGAGTGAGGTGGAAGGGGTGATGTGGCATTAACACAAGACAGAACAAAATGTGGTATTAATAGGGTATTAATTTCATCAACACAAGACAGAACAAGGGTATTAATAGGGTATTAATTTCATCAACACAAGACAGAACACGAAACAATGGATATTGAATAGAAGTGTTTGTAGAAAGCCTATTGGTCCATATTTCTTGATGCTTCTATATTGGAGCGGAGTCTTGAGGTGGGTAGAATATAGTTGTGCAATAATTGGCTGTTGATTGCTGGTGTTGACTTCTTGATGTGTAGTGCCTCGCAAACGTCAAGCCGCCTGCTATCGCTGTATCTATCGATGATTTCTGTGTTGTTTACTAGGATTTCTCTGGCGATGGTTTGGTTGTGGGAAGAGATTATATGTTCCTTAATGGAGCCCTGTTGCTTATGCATCGTTAAACGCCTAGAAAGAGATGTTGTTGTCTTGCCTATATACTGGGTTTTTTGGAGCTTACAGTCCCCAAGTGGGCATTTGAAGGCATAGACGACGTTAGTCTCTTTTAAAGCGTTCTGTGTTGTGTCTGGAGAGTTTCTCATGAGTAGGCTGGCCGTTTTTCTGGTTTTATAGTAAATCGTCAGTTGTATCCTCTGATTTTTGTCTGTAGGGATAACGTTTCTATTAACAATATCTTTCAGGACCCTTTCCTCCGTTTTATGAGCTGTGGAAAAGAAGTTCCTGTAAAATAGTCTAATAGGGGGTATAGGTGTTGTGTTAGTTGTCTCTTCAGAGGTTGCATGGCTTTTCACTTTCCTTCTTATGATGTCTTCGACGAAACCATTGGAGAAGCCGTTATTGACTAGGACCTGCCTTACCCTACAGAGTTCTTCGTCGACTTGCTTCCATTCTGAGCTGTGGCTGAGAGCACGGTCGACATATGCGTTAACAACACTCCTCTTGTACCTGTCTGGGCAGTCGCTGTTGGCATTTAGGCACATTCCTATGTTTGTTTCCTTAGTGTAGAAGGACTACACTAAGGAAACAAACATAGGAATCTCAGAATGGAAGCAAGTCGACGAAGAACTCTGTAGGGTAAGGCAGGTCCTAGTCAATAACGGCTTCTCCAATGGAAGTCGAAGACATCATAAGAAGGAAAGTGAAAAGCCATGCAACCTCTGAAGAGACAACTAACACAACACCTATACCCCCTATTAGACTATTTTACAGGAACTTCTTTTCCACAGCTCATAAAACGGAGGAAAGGGTCCTGAAAGATATTGTTAATAGAAACGTTATCCCTACAGACAAAAATCAGAGGATACAACTGACGATTTACTATAAAACCAGAAAAACGGCCAGCCTACTCATGAGAAACTCTCCAGACACAAAACAGAACGCTTTAAAAGAGACTAACGTCGTCTATGCCTTCAAATGCCCACTTGGGGACTGTAAGCTCCAA